AGACTTTTAAATACCCATTCATCGGTTCACTTATCGCCGATCTCGATGCAAAACATGAACGTAAACAGCTTCTCGTAATTCCTCCAATTAGATAGTAGAAAATTAAACACAAATCAAAGCAAAAAGTAAAAGCTTTCACATAATTCAATCTCCTTCATTTATATTTCTCTCAATTTATTGACTTACTTAACATGAGAAGTAGTATATAGTTAATATCGTTAATTATTTTGAATTATTAATAAATATTTATAGGAAAATTCAGGAAATTCCCACATTTCACGACAACGGATGGGAAATCCGAAGTCAATAAATTGAACGAGCAAATAGCAATTGTAACTATTTTATATATAATTTAAATAATGAAATTTGTAAATATAAACTTTCTAAAAATGTAAAATCCAAATAAATTCCATAGTAAACATTTCGGTGTGCTAACAAATAAAAAGAGTTTTAATGTAATTGAACTCGTTTAAATTATGTGGAATGTTTCCAGCATCGACGCCGAAATAAAACGTACATTTTGTAGTGTCGCTGAGTTAGTTTGCGTTTCATTCACCTGTAATTGAATTTGACTCCAATCTCGATAATTCTGTTATCACCGGGGTCCAAACCAGTCAATATACATTTTTTTTTTAAATTTCAAACGCAGTTTCGTTCAGAAATCGATTAATTGATACCAAAGTAATAATGGTAATTACTATTATTTGCATTTTTTGTGGTTAATTCTGAGGAAAACCAATCAAATGTTGTTAATTGGAGGATGGAAAAACAATGTTTCATTTGTTTTTATGTAACTTTTCAGAATAAATTTGAAAGTTCTTATATTATTTCATAACTTTACTTGTTTTTCTAGTATTGTCAACAAACAAGGTAATAAATAGATTCCTTTATATTCTCATGACAATAATGTGTGCATTAAAATGCACTCAAAGTTTTGCAATTGTGTGTATATCGATGGTACTTGAGAAGCATGCAATAAAAGTTGACTGCAGCTGTAACCTATAAACTTAATTTATGTTGCAATACAGAAACAGCAATTATTGATCGAACGGCGAAACTGCGTTCCGAAACATTTTGCAAAGATTAATCAAACCAATTAATTGGTATGCAGCAATTATGCAACGAGGGGCAGTGATATTCAATAATCCTTGCTCATCCCATAATTGCATCAAGCTGTGCATCGTATTAATCTTAACGAATATAAAACAATTACATTTCATATACTATTAGTAGAAAACACTTATATAAAAGTAATATGTAATAATATAATAAAATACCAAAAACATAATTAATGAATTGCAATATTATGCACATAGTATAAGTTATTGTTCAACTAAATTATGTCAGATATGAATCGCAACTTTACTCTGTTCAGTAGTTTCACTCATATGAAAGATCAATGGGTTTTGCCTGGCCAACCTTCAATTATTTGTAAATGTTAAACCGATTGCGCCCTTTGATAAACCTGAAATGAAATAAATGATTGCCCTTAAATATTTACTCGGCAATCTAAACTACATCCCAAGTAATCCACAAATCATGTTTGCTCTGATGATTTAACCAGTGATCGCCTTCATTTCCTAACTCAACTTTATCTGAACTTCGTATTTATGCCATAATATATCCAAAAATAGTACGTGTATTTATATAAAGGTTAGATCATGTTTTTCTTTTTAGTTTAATGATAAACATCTTTCTAGAAGAAAAAATAGACCAAAGTTATTTTTGTACTAAACAAATGATTAAATGATATAATAAGTAAATGCCAATGTTGGACACCGTTAAAGTCTAATATTAATTAGCAAATAGTAAAATAAAAATAACACATACAAATCTGTTGCATGTACTTAATTTATATTGGGGTTACGTGAGAGTAATATCTTCTTTTTATGCGATTCCCTCTATATATAAGATATTGAGGTTGCAAAGGGTAAGTGTATTAGAATTGGGGTTAACTGGCTGTACGTGAAGGGTTTCTATTTCATAAAATATGAACTTGATTACGGAAACCCTACATAAGTCAAATATCTCAAATGTAATCCTTTGCCTTATCCCACCTGTATTAAATATTGCAGGCGCATGACGTTCGATATAACGCTCGGACGGGGTGAAAAATATACGTAACACTGTTTTGAAGAAAATTATACGTTAATTGCATCTATTTACGATGATAATTCGCGTAGGCTTTTCTAATCGCATTATTTTCATTTAATGAATTTGCAGAAGGTAGAATTATCACGCGATTCACGTGAAAAAATCATTCATCAACCTTTTCGCTTCAAATTTGATGTGATTGTATGTTTTTAACGATCTTATTTATTGCAGATCCGATTAGTGCCGAGCAAAATGTTACGCCTGGGATTGATCATGTTTGCCGTTACAAAACACACGACACGCATGGCTGTCAAATACATCAAATATGACCGGATTAAATCATTTGAATGTTACATGCATTGTTCATCTCGTATTGACGATTATATTTGCAGTGCAAGTCTACGTGGGAGTTGGCCAAGTGGACTAGGATTAGTCGTTTTTTTTGTATTCAAAAAAATTAAAAAAAAGATTGACTAAACCTTTCAGTTATTTCAGTTATTAAAATAGATTTTCTTGTATAATTAAGTCCAAAGATTGTGAATTATCAGTATTAACGTAATGAAAATCTTTAGTTATGCGTTGTTACAATATGTAAGGTTGCGGACTCATTTGTATGTTGGTGCGCGTTGCCGAAGGGGGTTGAAGGATTTCCCAATTAAGTAACTCATTATCGACTCGAACCCTCGTACCGAAAGCGTGTCAAATACAAAGATAATCTCATGGATTTTAAGTCCATACCTGACTGTACTACAACTTCGTTTTTTTTTCTTCTTCTTTTTATACGTCCTCTTCTTTTTGTTCGAGCAACTTCGGTTGTTCCGTCCCCTTCGAATGCTGGTGGCCTCAGCGCAAAACTTTTATGCAAGGCGACAATTTTAATTATTTCCACTCGCACATTCTTCATTAAAGCGGATACCAGAATGAGATGTTTTATGTATACTCATGAATAAAAGCAATAGGAATTTTGATTAATACATTTTAAAATATTTACATAAAAACGCATTCAACCACTGTATGCATATACAAATGAAAATCATAGCACAGTAGTACCATTAACATTAACATAATAATGTAATTAATGTGTATATTTAAATTCCTTCAAAATAAGTCATCAACTGAATCGTTATTTTTCACATTTTTTTTCTTGTTATTTTAATTATAAAAATGACGGTTTACATCACTTTATACGTAAGAAATTGTATAATTATACAGTGGAACCTCGCTTAACGAGCAAAATAAATTGTAAGAAAAATAACGAGCGACGTTTCGCATAACGAGTGACGATGAGAAGTCCCGGATTGCGCGCCTTCTTCATCATTTTTAAAACCTGTATTCACATATTATATGTATTTTTTTTAATATGTTTCACTATACGAGTAAAAATCCTGAAATTTAAACACTTTAAGCGAGGTTCCACTGTATATAAATTATTGTGAATGCGCCGGGTGTTGTATTCAAAGATTTCCATTCAATAATTGTTGCAAAGGACTATTGAGCCTTTCTGCCTTTTTTAGTATTAATTATAAATTTTGATTGGCCCTAATTCGGATATCAACATTACTATAGTAAACTATAAATTAGAATTACAATTTCAGAATTTCTTCATTCATTGAGTTTTCAATAAATATATAAGTAAATATAATCTAATAAAATATTACTTTTATTTTATCTTAAGTTTCCTAAAATTTCAATTCTCCTCGGTTGATTAAAATATCTATCGGCGACTGCTGAACGATCCTCTCATGCTGCTGGTATTCAATATATCTGAAGTACAGCTCGTTTCTGAAGTGAAAAATAGTGCAGCCAACGAGGCAATCTCTTTACATATTTCATTTATGACAGTTTGTCATGCCACGAAAGACCATTTCTTCTTTGTTAATCTTGCTTACCTTTCATATATTTTGTTCTTATAAATTTATTTATAATGATTTTAAAACCTGATTATTCAGTTATTAAATCTTCTATTTCAACACAACTGCTGTTATTTATGAGCAAAATATGATCTGAAGCAAATATAGAACAATATTGGAATCAATGAGTTTGGTTTGAAAATTTCGAAACAATCTAAAATTTAATTGAAAAATTGATAATATAACTTTTATTATCAGACATTAAACACTTACTTACTGTTAAATTAAGTATAATGTTGTAAAATATATACAATGTTAGAGTACAAAATATATTCTTTGTAATTAAAATGATGTTCGCAGACAGTGTCAATAATGATCTTAAAAGCTCGTAAAATAAGTACGAGGCGTTTTATTTAATGTTCAATTAAAATGGACTAATTCAATAATATAATTAATGGTATAGAAGTTTTAATATTAAATTGTAATATTTTGTAACCTAATGTCGCTTTACAAAGTGAATATAAACATTAATATGTATTTTTTTGAACAAATACATTAATCAGTATCAATCATTTTATATTATCAATACATCATTTCTTAAAAAATATACAATGTATTACGTAGAAGTAAGATTTGAACAACGCATTCCATCTTGTCATGAATCGTGAACCGCTGAACAATTCTGTTGGAGCTTGTGGTATGAAGCAAAGTCGAAGACGGAATCAGTAAACAAACGAGCAAGTAGACTCTCGCAAGAACAAAACCATTTTAGTTAAGTTAATTACAAACTGAGTGATAGTGTAATAATGGTCTATTCTATTACTGTTAGATTTTAAACGAAGTCATATATTTTACTGGCAAAAACCACATAATGGAAACTAAAACGCAGACTTTTAACTGCTTTTGAAAATGTACTTTAATCCATTTTAATTTCCAAATATACAGTTATTTAGGAAAACAAGAGGAAGAAATAAAAATCAATGAATGCATTATTAAAATATATTCAATATAAAAACAAATAACGAAGCGAATATTATTTAAATATATACACTTTATTATAATAAAATAAGTTAATAATTTGATGCTATTCCCCGGAAACTAATTGCAATATAGTGTTGATAATGCGTTCGCCTTTATCGTGATGTTGAATATTTAATAGTGGATCCTTAATCTTCTCTTCCAATAACTCAAGTAATTCAATCCGTATCATTTTAATCATTTCGGCCACCTAAAATAAATAATGTTTTAAACTCGGTAATAATACTCGAGTGTATAATATACCTTATGCTCATCTACTTCAAATAAGATCCAATTATCATCCATGGCAATGAACGTAGTCCCATTGTGCACATTAATATCCAGTTCATAACCGGAGAAGAGCACAAGAGGTATTAAGGGTATTACACACAAGTCCCTTACGAAGATCCTGTTAGTTTTAACTTTCTCTTGGTAACACAGGAAGGAGCTAGCGAATTGCTTAATTTCATAAATGATCGAGCTGGGATGTACGAAAACCTGTTAAATAAATTATATATACTTGGAACTCACTTAAGCGTGAATATGAAAGTACCTGTTCCTGTTTCGTTTTAAATTTGAAATCCTTGGACTCGTGTTGCTTCGGAACAGCTCCAGCAGCGCTGACCACGAACGATTTTTCTGGTTGCAATATTTTTGCTACATTCGGATACAAGGCAGCACAGAGGATAGACGACAGCACCCTTTGGTTATCGTTATTCGCATTAAATTCTTGTCCAGTTACTTGGTAAACGTCGTCTTGCCCGGACCGACGTCTCCTGTTCAAATTAATTGGCACAAAATCAATACTGACTAGCAACTCCAGAAATTGATGCTTAATATCGGCGATTGTTATCAGAGTTTTATGCGATAAATAATTTTCTCTCGCGTAGTTAATACCACCATAATAACTTTTCTTGTTGACTTCTTGAAATTTCTTGAAAAAATAATAAGGAATAGATTATAAGAATTGAATGTAAATGTATTTGTGCTTACATTGTATGCCTTTAGAGCAGTCATTTGATCGCTAAGACCGTTGGCGAAAGTTCGTTTCTTCGCATTAGCCTCGTCTTTCTTACCGAAAGGTGTTACAAAAGGGCTTTTATAACTCAAACATGCGGCCATTGTTAGAGCTGAATCAACGCACGAAAACATTGCCCCGAAAAGCATTAGCTTTCCAATTCTCACATCCACCGGAAGCGCGGCCAAATGGTGACCTAAAGGAGTTAAATTTATTTCTTTATCCAGAGCTCCTATATTCTGTAAGCGTTTTACAGATGAATCGATGCTATCCTTAACAGGCGGCTCGATGATCTTATCTAAACAAAGAAGATGAACGCACATGTAATATAAACAAGAATACGTGAATATAGTGGATAGAATTACTTAAAACTTTATAAATATCTTGATCTTCAAAATTTGGCAATACTTTTATATTTAATAGAAGCTGTTCAAGAGGTACTCTGTGTATTTCTGGTACGGGCTGAGGCAACATGTGATACCTGAATCGGTGATTGGTGTACAGGTGAATGCAAACGCCGGACATCACTCTGCCAGCTCTTCCTTTCCTCTGCAACGCATTTGCTCTCGTCACCCAAACCGTTTCCAAACTCTCCATGTTCCTGTTGGAATCAAATCTCTTTTCTTTCATCTTACCGGCATCGATAACAAAAATACAGTCATCAATTGTAACAGATGTTTCAGCAATATTAGTAGACAGCACTATTTTTCTTGCACCTTTAGGATTTCTATAAAATTTTAAACATTAAGTTATACACAGTACAAAACATATTTTAAACTCACTCAAATACTTTGGATTGTTCTTCACTAGTTAAACTAGAATGCAACGGTAGCAAAACGTATTTTCCATTCTTCGGATTGAATTCAGGATGCACTATTAATTGATCGTAGAGAGCCATAATTTCAGCGATTCCAGGTAAAAACACTAAAATGCAACCAGTTGTCGGAAATTCGTGTTTCCCTTTCACAATCCAACACAAAATATTTTCTATTAATTCTAAATTGATTTTCATCTGGTCCATCAGATACAATGTTTTACAAGTTTTCATACTGTAACCTACATAATAAATAGAATTAATTAAAAAACAATATATATTAAACAAAAACTAAGATAATACCATTGTACCGAGCAAGAACTTCTGCAACTCTTAGATTTTCATCTTTTACACAATCCTTGGGCATAAAATTTCGCATGGATACATCACATGACTGCATCTCAATTTCAAATTGTTCCATATTTTTTACTTTTTTTCCGTAAGTAAGAACATCGTCCAAAACGTAGCCTGTAGTTTCAATTATATCTTCTAAGAACAATTGTTCTACGGGGAACGTGCGTCCAGGAATTTCAAGTACAGGCACATCACCAAAATAATCGGAGAATATACTTGCATTCAAAGTAGCACTCATCAGTATAATTTTTAAATTTGGCCGCAACGGCAACAAGTCTCTTAAAATAAGCAATAGGAAATCACTGGAAATGTAACATTCATTAATAAAATTTCAATATAAAAGTAGTACTAAATTTACCTTTCTTCACTTCTTTCGTGAACTTCATCAACTATTATATGAGTTACGTTACTGAGCATCGGGTCAGCTTCTAATCTTCTAAGTAAAATTCCGGTGGTACAAAAATTTAATCTAGTACTGGATGAAACTTTACTTTCTAAGCGAATTTGATATCCGACGACATTTCCAATTTTATCTGCCCTTTCCTGAGCTACACGTTCTGCAACACCTATAGCTGAAATACGCCTAGGTTGGGTGCACACAATCTCTACGTGATCGCTTTTAAAATTTTCTAACCACTCGTCTAAAATATACTGCGGCACTTGTGTACTTTTACCACAGCCTGTTTCTCCACTGACCACCAAAACTTGATGGGTTTTCATTGTATTCAATATTGTATTTTTATAAGACATCGCTGGTAAGTTATTCCGCACTTCTTGCATCTTCTTATATTTATTATCATTTTGAATCGAAATAAATCTTTCTGCTAACTTCTTATCCTCCTTTTTAATTTGCTCCAAGCTCATTTTACTTTTGCCATCCCTATTTGTGATGCCTTTTTTATAATGCGTGGATCTCTTCAACTTGTTCGGATCAATTTCCTGGATTTTAGGGAACAAAGACTGATCAGGGTCCAAAAAGCGTATAGGGTTATTCTTGATATAACTAGTCATCTCCTCTTCATTCTGAAGCAATTCTACAATAGAATAAATACTAGCAATACCATTTGAAGCTAAAACTTCGGCTTCTTGATGCAACCGCTTACAAATATGCAAGTTTAACAAATGTGGTAAGACGGCATCAGTTTTAAGAAATATTATAGGAGCTTCGAAAGGATACATTGTTTTATGCGGAAATCTAATCTCCAATTCGTACGTGTAATTATCTAAATGTTGATTAACTTCATTTTTTGGACCATCTTCTTCATGCGAAAATCTACATTTTGAACCAAACTTACATGGTTGGCCACGTTGAAAATATCTGCATTTCTCTACTTTTTTCTTATTCTGAACTTTCTCAACTTGCTTCTTCTTTTCAGGTTTATTGCAATATAATTTAGAGAGATAATCTAACTTACAGTTAAAGATCCAAACAGTGTTGTTAACCTTTTCAGTAAATGCATTGTCATAAATTGACTCCAGTACACCTTTCTCATCTACTCTTTGTTCTAGCAGTTCATTTTCCGAATAGTTATGTTCACTTTCTGCTATCGCATCAATCTTCAAGTATTTATTATATAATATACATAATGATTCTTCTACTTCTCCATTACAATAATCCAAAGCTTCTTGGCAGTGCTCTTTGTGAAAACCATAACTGAAATACAATATTGTTATTTTAACCTTAACAAATCGGGTGTGACACATACCTTTCCAATCTCATTTGTGCGAACATTTTCAATCTATCCAACTCACTCTCTGGTTCATTGTTGGTATTGGAATAATCAAAGCAGCCTTTGATGATTAAATTTCCACGACCCTTCCAAAAATTCTTACCAACATGGTTCCCTTTATCCTCATAACTACTGGCATCACTCAATTTGAAATCCTATAAGAAAATCCAAGTAAGGTCATTTTATATATATGGTTGTAATGGATTCAATTTACTTCTCCATGAATGTGCCTCAATGTATCCATAATATATTCCTGAGATTTCTTACTTAAGGAGAGAAGTTGTAATTCTTCCTTCACTTGTTTAGGTGCTACATGCTTAGGTGTATTGCTACATTCCCAAAAAAAAAATTAACAAATATCATAAAATGAGTTGTGAAAGTTTGCCTTAAAATTATATACCTTATTTTTACATCAGCCACTTCACGTAAAAATAAATCGGCATTATTAATTGCCTGCTCCGATGCCATGGTATCAACTATACTTAAAATGTAATTTACAGAAATATTGCATAATTTTGCACAAAATATTGAACACACTGGCGTTTAAAACTACCACATTGCAATAAGTCTTTTAGGCAACCAAAACTAGAAATTTAATTCCATCTGTCATTTGGTTATGCAACCCAATATACTGCAGTGATTCGTATTATACATAACATTAATAAATAACACTGTTAAGTCATTACAGATGTCGCTGATAACGTATATTTGCAACTTGGAAGCAAAATACAAAACTGGTGAAATTAAGTTACAAAATTATTATTATTATTATTACGACAATATGTTTCATTTTTAATTAATATTTTTATTTGGACATAATTATTCTTTCATTTATCTCTAAAATGAATATTATACAAATATTGTGGACATGCTGGAAAAATCTATTTTTTTGATATACAGTGGAACCTCGCTTAACGAGTTTAACACGTTCCAAAATCGGATTTCGGAGTTTTACTCGTATAGTGAAACATATTCAAAAACACACATAATATGTGTACACAAAAATGATCTAGCAGGCAGGCGCACAATCCGGGAATTCTCTTCTCATCGTCACTCGTTATGCGAAACCTCGCTCGTTAAGCGAGTCATTTTTCTTACAATACATTTTTCTCGTTAAACGTGAATGCTTTCATTTCTAATTGATTTATTATTGGTGCAATTATAATCATAAGTGATGTTACACAATTTCACAATAATCTATATATAAATTTGGAGTCGCAATGGCCATAGCCTAGATCCCTAAATAGCGGATTGTTGGATGATTGTTCTCTGATAAAATAATAAATTATATAAAAATGTATCTCGGGCATGCACTCAATTTACTTTGTCGCGCTACTATATGTATTACTTTATATATTATATCACTGTGTTTTTATTAATACAATGTCCAAATTTAAGAAAACTACAAAAAATGTAATTCAAGAAGCTGAATTATCTCATCTTTCTGATCTTAGTTAAGTTGATAATAGTTTGGAGATTCTAGAAATAAGCTCGAATGTGGATTGAGAATTCTGAGACTAGAATAAAGAAAGATTAGTTAAAAACTAATTTTAAGTGAAAAATAATCCTGCCTAAATTTACTTTAAGACCACGAACGGAATACAAATTAGATTGCATTTATCTAATTATTAGTAAAATTATTTTTTTCAGTAAAAACAATATAATTTGCCGACGATTATTGTATTTGATTTTTAATAAAAAAATAATTATGTTACTTCATTATATGATCTTATTTTGAACATATTCTTTAATCATGAGAAAAAAATATTTTGTATATGTATGAAAGAGCGTAATTTGCAATAAAACGGTGAACTTAGATATTGAAAAAAGAGAAATAAGCACATTTCCAACAAATTTATCATTCATGTCAGAAGGTCAGTAATAAAAGAAAATGTTTATCTATAACATATTTCTTCAAAATCGAATTTGTTTTAGGTAATTCATGAAGATATATGAATTTATTGAAATGTTTGAAACGAGGTTCAGTGCTAATATTACGTTCATTGAAAAAGGGTCTAAATATAAATGCTACATAAATTTTGCTTTTAAATTTTTATTAAATAAAAAAAATATTTTCGTCATTATTAATAAATTGCAATTACAGTTCCAATAAATTGTATTCAAAACAGATAAGTTTAAACATTCCACATATTGATTGCTTAACTTTCATAAACGTCGATTATTAATTACAGGGTGACGCAATTGAAGTGCAACTTTTCAGAACGGTGTATTTTTTTTTATTTGCAAAGGATTTTATTGAAACACCAGTAATAATTGTTGGAAAACAATAATTGTTTTCGAATTCATTTCAAATTTTCGATACGGTCGCCTTGAGCACAAACTATAGCTATGAGTTGTGAACCTGCGAAATCTTCCTCCATTCACGAAGAAGGGCTTCATTGAACACATAAATACTCTGTTACTTGTAAAATGACCCATACCGATGACCCCGAATTTCATTCAATTCAAGCCTTAACTTTCCGAACCACCTGTACCACAGATATAGTTATTTTCCGATCACCAAAATAGCATTTTGTAATACTATGGTTCAAGATACGAAAAATTTATTCACATTAAGGTGTTCAAGGGCTCTAACAATAAGCATTTTTGGTTTTCCGCTCAAAAATTGGGCTATCACACTATTACGTTTGAATTCCATCACTGATAACTTTTTTTCCAAATAACTGAGATGCAAATGCTTCCGCAGGCTTGTAAATAATAACATCACCTATCATTAGGCGAAATATGGACACAACATTGCCAACGGTTCAAAAGTTATAGCAGTTTTAAGTTGGTTTCAGTTCAATTGGGCCACCTTGTATAATCGCATTTTCTTGATTAACAATAAATTACAATTACAGCTCCAATAAGTAAATATGTAAACCTGATATGTATATTTATTTACGTAATTCTTATGCAAGATAATATTACTTTTTGTAATAAATGTAGCAGTTTTGATTTAAAACAATGTGCTTTAAAATGTAAATTCATGTTACAGAATATGAGTAATAATTTGTAGAAAAAATAATTTATTTTCTTAAGAATTAATACGTTCCACATTTACAGTGTCAGTGGTTATAAAAAAAAACAAAAATATTTATGTATTTATATATCTATATGCTGAACGTCCTGATAGCCGTAACCTGTGGACAGTGGCAAATATACAGATCCAATTATCACCGAAGCAGCGTAAACTAATTAGCAATTAATTGTATGGCGGGAACTTTCGTCCGTACATCTCGCGTCATCGCTTATCGCTAATTATCGAAACTCATCCGAAGCAGAAATTTGAAAATGTCCGATTTAGGAATATTTCATACACCGACGTTCATTTCCATTGTTTCCCAGGTAAATTAGAACTAATCACCAGAGCCAACACCACGTGTCCTCAGCTTGCATAAGCAATACATGTTACATTTATAATTGTGAATAGCGACAATTTTTTTTTGCTAAAGTTTTTCGTGTTCCATCGAAAACATAACAAATAAAATATATAATACAAAATTTCGAATTCTCCTCTCGCGATTGACCCACATTTTTTATTCTAGATTTATTAAATATTGTACATGCAACCTTACTTGTACAATTTGCCCGTAAAAAGTTCATAAAAATAATTTATAACGCACGCATCCTTGGCGATTCGGTCCAAATACATATTATTCTTGATAAACCGGAAAATAATTTCTCCGTTTCCTGCTCTTATCTAGTTAATAACGCCCTTGTACAGTAATTTAGCTCGTTTTACTAGCGGATGCAAATTTCCTGATCTTTCCACGGGATTTTCCTCCAAACAAAGATTCATCACGTTTAAAAATCAATTAATTAGATTATTGTCCTGAGTCATGCTTTTTTCGGTACTCCATCGATTTCATTGTTGTCGAGGTACCAAGAAATTAAAAAAAAAACGATATGATAACATCTGTACGTGTTTTTTTTTTAATATGATAAAATGAAATCAATCATTGCGGATTTATTGCCACAAAATTCGCAATGTTTGTAGTGCAGCAAATAATCTAATCTCAATTAAAAGTTCATCACATTGTCTTATATTTCTACATCCCGAGTTGTATTACAGAATCAAATCGTTTCATTATTTGCTTACTCTAACTGGATTTGTCAAAATGTGTACGATTGTTTGCCAATTAATATCTTGAGATATGGATGTACGTGATGCAAATGAAATACGGCTCGAGTACAAGGTTCCACTATTAAATACTCTCGAGATGCCTGGAAAGCTAAACGGCTCGGATCATTAGGTACAGGAAATATTTGATAAAGTTAAAACATCTTTAACAGTTTAATATGCATGGCCGACCGACTAAATTGTCTCAAAGTCGCATTAAGGTGTCGCCACTACAATTTTTTTTTAAATAAAATTTATGTCTCTTTAAAATAACACTTGCAAATAACCCACATCATTATTACCACTATCAATCTTTGTTTAACTGATTTGTCTGTATTAACTATAATAACAGCTAAACAATTTTGTTATCTTCTATAGAAATTATGTAATTGATCATGTAAATCAAAGTACTATTAAAATTAATAAGCAAAATTGGATTTTACCCAAGACTTGGACACTATATTACTAAATATAAAGATCATGTCAATTCTGTAATTCAACAGCGAAATAAACTATATATAAAACTGTTACCTTCTCTATAGAAAATCGATCTGGATTGTAATGAAATAAGTTTAAATATTACAATATTGCCATTGATATGATTGTTAAAACATGCGCACTGCCTATTCTACGAAAGTTAATTTATATAATGAAGTAGAGATTTTTATTGCATAATTGTATCCAATTCTTCTAGAATGAGGACAGATCACCCAAAGTGTCGATTAACTTTCGTACTTCTGAGCTATTTTGGATAACTGTAAATGTGGATACGGTGAAAATGATTAAATACATCTAATATCGAATCACGATTATCAAAAAAAATACATCAAAATAATCTACCTTCCAACTATTGGATTAAAGGTCCGATATTGTCACGAGACGAGACAATGGGAAAGGGTGATACATAGGGACGTGTATTGTTAAAAAATAAGTGATATAATAAAACAAATCATATTAATCTGGTGAATATAGGAAAGATATTTGTAACGGTGAAAATATTAGAAAGAGAATTGAATTTTTTTAACATGTAAATCGTAATAATTTATTTTAATTCTATTGATTAAATGCAATCGTTTGCCATTAGTTTCCAGAAAAGGAGTTCGAGATGCTAATGAGGACCAGTGCGGAGACAGTGGATGTTCAATATATGGGCTACAGGATATTGGAAAGTCTATATTAATAAATATTAGTTTCGATTAATGATTGATTTCGTTCCAAGAAGATGAAAGTGTTTCACACTGTTACCATAATTGCGTTATTTGTTTCTGATTCACTTTTTAAAAAAATAAATATATCATGTTTTTATTATTGATAATAGTTTATTGTTATTTTATATTCTTATGTTCTTGTTTTTTGTTCAACATTTTTTTATATTATCATTTTATGTATAATTGTTATTAACATCATTTCATATATATTTACTTATAAACTAATTATAAGTGTTTTATTAAATTCTATAAAGTACAAGTTCTTTGTTTGATTAACGCATACCAACTATGTTTAAACATTACATTACTAATCCAATGACTAAACTATGAAATATGTCACTACTATGTTCTAATATAAACAATTATTTACTTAATAAATTATTGATATTGTATAGTAAAAAGATTTATTTAATGATTATTTCTTTAATTGATTCCGACTACAAATGTAACCATTCTTAATACATGACTTATCTCCATTGTTATTAAAAAAAACAACTCAATGTGTTATTGCAAACTTGTATTATTGCTCTTGCGTTTTGGGGCAGAAAAGTAGGATACAATTAAGTACATTAGCATTAACTTACCAAATATAAACAATTCCATAAACCATCCACATTCCTTTTCAAATGTCCATCAGGATTCAATTAGCAGTTATGTTCTGTAGTAGTGAACGTTTCATACATCTATTTTTAAACATTGTTTATAAATTTCCTTCAATTCGTGCCATAAAATAATTAACCCTTTACTTCAATTACAAACATAAATCGCAAAGAAAAGAAAAAACAGTTTTCTTCTTACGTAAGGAATTTGTTTTAAAATATAGTAAATTCCGTTAACATTCCTTTTTTTTTTCCTATCGCGATATGTCAAGTATTTTTATGAACTCCTTTATTTTACGAACGCAAATTGTTTCTCTGCAGTCATATTTTTTGTATGCACGATCATTATAACTTACAAAGTGACATTTTCTTGTCATAAAATATAAAAATGTTGTGTTTATAAATGAGTGAATCGGTGCAAGTTTGCGATAAGTTTTTAAATAGGTCGTAAGTTATCATTAATTTTAAGAAAACCAATGATTAAAACTCATAAAAATATCGATTCGTTAATTCATATATAATATTTGTTTAGTTCTTACAATTATAATTTATTTACTTTATATTGTAATATATTTAGAATGTAATTAAATGTTTTTGTATTTATATCAATAATTAAGACTGTTTAGTTATTTTATATTAAATAATGTTCTCACATTTTGTCATATTGATGTAAAATTTTGATTTCTGTTAGAAGTTTCGATTTATATGATATAATTTCTATTTATTTATATTGCAAATGTAAATAACTTAATATAATTAAAACCATTTGTATTTTTGAATGTAAACATACGTGTTTTTTCCTTATTTCGATGAGCAGAAAGTTCCTTTTGTGAAATTTGCGTTTGAAATTAAAGAAATTTAATTAAATCTCGATAATTTAATTTGTTTGTATATTGATTAGTCCTGTATTGAGTACAAACGAATAATTGAGACCGGATTTCACGAAAACTTCTCGTGGCCAGCCGAAAACAATAAATTGCTAGACTTTTCCGTTAATATTTCTAATCAAGTACACACGAACAAAAAAAAAAGTGTACTCACAATAAGTCAAGTTATCTTGACCACGCAATTCCCCTCCCACACCTATTTGGATCCAGCTATAAGTAATCTTGTCAATAATATTGTCATATATTATAACATAGAGTAACAAAGGTGTGATTGTGGCAAACGAAATTTGCCGCTTGCTGTGTCCAGTCCAGTTCGGTTCGGTGAAAATACTCGTGCAAGTATGTGTTTGAAAAATTCTTCGGTACAAGCAAAATGGATGGGAAGATATTGACGGGCCAGAGCAGAAAACACGCCTTGCAATTCATCGAAATTCACCAAACACCGACAATTGTTACATTAGTGTTATTGTTGATGTTGCTATTGTTGCAACTGGACTTGCCAGAGAGGAGCCTGTCAGTGTTCAGTGATTGATCCTGCAACGAGAAAGACTGATATTATTTAAGCAAAACGTGAGTAGCGCTATTTCATCTCGTTTCAAGTTATTTTACCGCAAATATCAGTTGGTCAAACAAAAAAGAACATTCCGAGACGGGAGAGAACATTTAACATTTATTTAACTACTTAATTGAGGCAGTACTTAACATGCCTCTGTATATAAGAGCGACAAAAGATTTCAATTCATTTAATGATATTGAACTGTTCCGGAAGAAAAGTTATGGTTCCATTAACGATCGTATCCTAACAACATCGGTAAATCCAACACATAATATTTGCAAAATACCATTTGCATGCGCGAATATTCACAAATCCAGGTGGTGGTTTTTTTTTATGGTGGTTTCTTAACATTCGCCTCATTACAGTCGTAGCCAAAATGATGTCTAAGAAGCAGTGGTTTGTGCTCCTGTGCCTCTACATAATCTATTTACTGCTGGGCGCTTCCTTCTATTACCAAATTGAGAGCAGGGCAGAACGAGAACGAAAATCAGTGGAGAGAATCGAACGCAAGGAAATCGAAGGTATTTTCAATTAATTACTTAATTATCAACAGCAAAAAAAATAATTATAGATAACGTTTTGATAAGAACTTAAGAATATCATCCAATGCACAGAAAACAATTATTTTAATGAAAAACCATCACAATCAATTGAATTTCATTGAGATATATTGGAAGTAATGATGGTTTTCGATGTTGTTTCCTTGCAATATTATCATTTTGTTTACATTGTCCGTAATAATATTGTGCACGTTAGGTGCACCCGGAATTGAAACTTCGTGCTGAACTGGTACTATCCGGATTTCGCATAATCTAGGATCTTGATAAATCCATTAAGGATTATAGAAATCAATGAAACGTAGCTAATAAGAAATATAAAAAAAATCACCCCAACAAATAATAAATAAATAAAAATTTAATTTTCTTTGAAACAAAATTCAAACAAAGTTACAATTATTGAGATCAAAACATAAAATGCGGCGCAATTGCGCTTACGTCTAATATTATCTTTAATCGAATTTTGTAGAATCGATTTTATTTTCAATAATTACTTTATTATTCACCGTGATTTGATTCATAATATAATCGCATTGTCGTTCATATCTATTAGACAATTCAGGTGTTTTTGTTTAGTTTGTATCTAAATTTATAAAAAAATCTAAATATTTCAATCGATACTATCTAATAATTGATTCCGTCATAATATATAACATAATGGAATTATGAATAGATTAGATTATCAATGTAATTATTAAAATTAATTTATTTTAAAGATTTTTAACTTCTATTATATAGAAAAGAGTAAAACGTTATGATTTTGAATATCATTTATATTTCTTTGCTAAGAGAAAATATGGATATTTTTGGTTCTTTTCTGAAAAGCAATATTTAAATTTATTTTTATTATATGTCATTAATATGCATGCATTAAGATGCTTTTAAAACACAATAATTGCATAGGGAGGCGTCGAGTTTTATTCTAATGTTTTCACCTATCACGCGATGTTTAGAAATTTCCCCTGAATAGATAAAAATAGGTATATTAGCAATTTTTGTTAAATATAAATGAGATGTTTAGAAACCTCAATATTATGAGTTTAAAATAATAATATCAAGAGGTATTACATTTTTTTTTGTAATTTTTAATTTGTAATTAATAAGTGTTTAAATTCATATGCTCCTTTTGAAATTAATCATGCTTACTCATATTATATTATTGAACTGAAAACAAATAAGTATCTAATGTCTCTTAGTAATAAGCAAACGATTAAATTTCTCGAGTTCAAAGCGATTGTCGACAGAATGCATCATATTTTAAGGACTTATTCTTAAGTGTTGTGCTAATCCGTTAATCCAACCGACGGGGTTTCCAGTTGTAAATAATAACGTATTATCTAATACTTTGTCACTGGGAAACAGACGAGGTAAACTTACGTAAATCGATGGGTAATCTTATCTGCAACGATCCATCAATCAATCGTCTGAGGCAATTGCACGAATAAGCGAGATCCTAAGTTCAATACATGCTTGTATCCAGGCAGAAACATGGAAAAAATACTAATAACATATGTTATTTGGAGATAGAAAAAAAAACTATTTTCATTATCATTAAATCGATATCAAATCATAACAATAAGTGTCATAATATATTATATTATTTTTTAAAACTTTTAATAATCTGGAAATTTCAGTATATTCAATGAGAGAGCCGATTCGTCAATTGTATTGAATTTATTACTAAAAGATAACATTTTAATATCTTATTTTATTGTTGATTTTCAGATTTGCTGAAGATTCATTATATACCAAGCATAAATTCGTCGCAAGAAGAGATTTTCGAGAAGTTGACAGCGTATTGCGGGAAACCCATGCACAGCAGCATGTCGAAACATGAGGATCCTCTGATTTGGGACTTCTACCATTCTCTGTTCTTTGTAATTACAGTAGTCAGTACTATAGGTAAGCACATGATGTCCATCTTAGAAAATCGTTTCTAATTGAAATAAAAATACAATAGATATTTCGATCATGAACGGTGCTATTTAATTGATATGTAAAACAAAACTGTTCGACGTTATGTCATCTTTGAGGGGAACCGTCTTTGAATATTTAATTTTCGATTTTGATTAATGTTATTATATATACACACACACATTTTGTTCTGTTTTACGAAACTGCTAATGCACAATTTAATTGTTTTGTAATTCGCAGGTTACGGAAACTTGGCTCCGACGACGATGTTGGGCAGAATAGTTATGATTTTTTATGGACTCGTCGGCATACCTATCAATGGTATCGTGATGGTCACGTTGGGTGACTTCTTTGGGAAGAAGGTATGCATACAAACGCAAACACATAGCACATCATTCATTCATTCTACACTACACCGAACATGCCGACTATAAAACAAATGTATTGCAACTCTTGTATAATCAAAGTAAATCTAGACACGATACACAGATTGCACAATTCAAATCAATTACTTTTTTTCAGTGTCAAACACTAGAGGTCAATGTTTGTTGTACAACCTCTAGTTACATTTCGTATTATTCTTTACTACATAATCCTTTTTCGGTCACTAAAACTATTTCGTTTCTTAAAAACTAGAAGAAAATATTAATTACACTTTTAATCTAAAAGATTATTGAATTGAATTGATCATAACTCCTCAAGAAATACAATTTCCAGTTTTTGATCTGTAACTTATATAATCTGTAGAAATACTGAAAAAATGATGGAAATTTTCGTTTCAGCGTTATATGTATGCTTTTTTTTTCAATGTTTTCGAACTAATAATCAGGTTGAAGATAAAGAAAATAGCTTCTGATTGTGAGATTTGTAATAAATATTTTAATGTTTATTAAATATTTACCTTTGAAGATTACGTGGTAGAGAATTTGAATTGACGTATGATAAACACTTGTGCAGGAGCGAAGGCAATAAAGAGTAGTGCAAACCTGAACGGCATTGAATGATTGCGATATTCATGGTTCTCGTTCCATTGAGGCTTTAGCAACAATTTCAAAATAGCAATAAAATGTATAAATAAGCGGCGGCGGCTTTAAGGCATAAGAATGAAACAGCGTCGGTTTATCCAGCAGGGCATTTCTCGTTCTGCCGCTTCTGCTTCTTATATGATGCGTTAATGGTTATTTCAAATATGGGACAATGGTTGACTTCTCATTGCGAAATCAAAGCCTTATCTTATTTTCACACTTTCCTGAACTACAATTGACGACAATCGGTCGATCATTAACACGTTACGTAAATAGACACAACACATTCGGACAGAAAAAAAAAAGAGGCCGTATCGCTTATTGAAACACTCAACACGCACAAAAGGGCGCTCCTTATTTATTTATTTATTTATTTATTTCTATGTTATTCAAAAGTACGGTTTCAATTCAGTTTTGCACGGATACTGACCATGTGTAAAACGAGGGCCCCGAAAGGTTAATGCGCTTGGAAATTACCGACGATTAGTTTTATTAAACTATAACTGCAATTAGACCAACTAATTATAAAATTAACTGGCGCTTAGTAATGCGTATAAAATAAAAATAAACTATTATTAATAACTCTCCAAGTACAATAGATGTTATAAATAAACATAATGAACTTTTCATAGTTTGGATTTTCCTATAGAACAGAAAAAACTTTTGATCTTCAGACTTGTATTAATGTCGATTCGATCGTAATCATTTATCGTTTGATTTTCAAGATCTAGAAGCGAACAAAATGATACTCAATGCAACGGAGACTATAATTGTTTTCGTCGCTTATTGTTTATCTGTAATACGACTTGTAAATAAAATCGAACGATAACTACACTAGTACTTTACTTCGAGCGTAATGCCACTTCTCTTCATTACGTATTTTGCACGTGGATTCAGAAATTTCGCTAATCAATTATTAATATTGACATCTCACGGTAACGCAAGTTCCAAAATGCATCCTTTCAATATTTACTATTGCTTTTACGCAATTATTTTTTTGTTACCATACGTGAGAAATACTTTATTATATGTTCCAGATTTACTTAATCTTCTGCTCATATTAATAGTATTGTTTCTCTTATTATAGTTTACGAAGTTGTATAATCGATGGAAGACGGACAAAATGCATCATGATAATGCGAGGCTTGGTCTCATATTTCAAATAATTCTCTATCTGGTACCTGCCTTTACCTTGCTTATATTCATACCGTCTGTGGTTATTATGATTTTTGAAGGTTGGGATTACGATGTTGCAGTTTACTATGCTTTCGTAACATTAACTACGATAGGTTTCGGCGACTATGTTGCAGGTAATATAAATAAATATAATAATTATATTTGTAATAAATAATATGTACGTTTTTTTTTATAGCTGTTGCCGACAATGGTTTTGGTAAATCATTTATATTTTACGAAATCTTTCTCTTGGTTTGGATCATAATCGGTCTGGGCTACGTGTTAATGGTGCTGGGATTCATCTCGAGAGGTCTGCGCAGCAAGAAGATGCATGCCATCGAACAAATGTTAGCTCACAACATCAAACGGACTCCCGATAAATTCAGAGCCTTAAGATCATTGCTGCACGAGATTCTGGTTATGAGAGTCAAACCGGTCTACAAGAAGAAACAATCTATATTTGAAGCTCCGAGCGTCGGCTACAGGAGTCAATCTTGTCCAGATCTAAGCATGTACTTCAAGAAAGACTCACCAACAATGGTCAGAAAGCGAGCTGTATCGGAATGCGTGGATCAAGAAGGATTGCCACGCGTCCAATCTGACACTGACCTCCATTTGATTGACAAAGAATTGACCTTTGGTTCTGATAAAAAGAAGCAGCAAACCGAATTATTATTGCGAGTTTCCAATGTCTTGGGTCAAACTATCGAAGAGGATGTATGCTGTACGGGTTACAACGGTTTAAGCGATAGTCAGATCTTGGAATCGGAATGGACAATCAACAGTCAGAAAAGCGAAACGAATTCCCAAATACCAATAAGTTGGAGGCCAAGAGCGTGCAGTGAAGTTAAGTTTCCATTTGAAACGCAATATCCTCAGTCGAATGAAAACACTTGGTACGGTCAGACTGCTTCTCTGAAACTCCAAGAAATGCGTGAAACTATGAAACATGGCAGAGCTAGAAGCAGGACACTTCCAGTGCAACAAGAACCTTTGATTAAACTTCCACCAACGAGATTCTTTGATAAATTACGTAAAACATTCCGTCGTAAGAACAAGAACAAAGACATCGAGAAACAAGATATATGCACTTCTCCACCACCGCAACGCAGCAGAGCTTTCAGTGATGTTCACAACTATTTGGCAGATACCCGAAATGGTAGGCCGTCGGTGCTTTCTATACAAGAGCAAGAAGATATTCAAACAATTGCTGAACTCTTGGTTGCTTTAACCAACGTACCGGAAAATAAACCTAAAAGGAAACTGGGTACAGCGTCTTTGACGCCTCCACAAGCTTCATCCCCACAGGGCTCGAGAAAAATGGAGGGTTCTCCTCCGAAACGAAGAAGATCTGCAATCAGACCGGCTTTCCAATCAAGACGGTCCTCGATGATACCCACAACTCCAACCATCATACAGCCTCGAAGACTATCACTCAGACCTGTCGCTTTCGATGAGAATAAGCTATCTCCGCCTCCTCCGTATAGTCCTATGCAAGCTGCCAGACCTCGAAGATTTTCTCTGAGACCTGTTCCAAATACAAGTGCAACTCCAAGCCCTGTGCAAAGGCAACGCTTACGAAAAGCTTCCAAAGATCAAACAAACGCATGGTTTCCTTAGCTTCAATTAAAACAGTTGGAAATACTTTAAGGTTCCTGTTGAAAAAAAAACAACATTTATTTTGAATTGAATTGATATTAGCGAACATTTCGCCCATCGGAATTACTGATTGCGCCAAAGTTTTCAACTTACGTGCCAATAGCCAGTGATATAGATAATAGTAATTTATTTTTTATATAGCATTTATTAGTCACTTAAGCATGACATTTCTGTTGTATATCCTACTTTAAGGCTCTATCAAAATAATTGTACAGTAGTTATAAGAAAACAGTTCAACTGTTGTACCAAGAAAGATTTTAAATTAAGTGAATAAATTAGTTGATTTTTATATTAATTGTGATTTTATTTCATTATTTGCAGTAGTTTATATAAATACTACCTTATGTTAAAATATTATAAAAAGACAAAACTAAAATTAATGATGAGAATATAGAATATATTAGGCGTGATAAATTTACCAATGCTGAAACAATTATTTGATGCAAATAAACAACAAAAAATAAATTTAAATTTTATTCTAAATATATTAATTATATAATATTGTAATAATAAATACAATTAATTAAATACCTTAAAGTAATATTAATGAAACATAATGTAGCATTGCGCAAAAGAGAACAACATAAAATGAAACAATAAATTATCAAATATTCATTCGAATCTGTTTGTTATCTTAGTATAAGACAATTAATTTAAGATTTCATACTTTCCGAGACGAAAATACACGTTCGTATCGTTAAGAAATTGCGAGTTAAATTAAAATTAACAAATACAAAATAAAATAAATAAAATGGCATTTGTGGTGGATATGTACAAAATTTTGCAGCACGCAAGGCAACTGAGTGTTGAATGAGAAGATTTAGACGTCGTTCTCATCGTCCGATTGTGATGGATGGATGAGTGGTGGAGTGATCGCTGTGGGCTGCAGTTCCATGATCGTAACGAAAATAGAAATTATGTTGTCAACTCCTATTAAATAACCGTCTTCGTGATTTCCAACCTTCCATTTTGATTTGTGATCGATGTCCACGTTGTCAGGTAGTATAATTGTTTTTGCAAAATCTATCAACCATACGTTTGCGTTGGAGCGATCATGCACAAACAGTAAAGAACTTCCAATCACCTAGAAATTAGAAAAATTAATGATTAAAGATTGAATTTATTCCAACAACGTGACACCTACCTCGTGGCTCTTGAAAAACTGGGATGCCTCCAAAGTTGCTTTAATCGCTTTCAAACGCTGAATGTACTTAGGCTGTATAAACATATTTTAAGATTTATTAGTTTGTTTATTAAGATTGTTTACGAGATTAAATTACTCACTATGGCATGCGGAAAACCTTTAGTGAAGTCTAGGAACGCCTTCATAACGTGATCTTTAGTTTTCGTCGTCTTAAAATCTTTACTAGATGTCCCGTCCGACCTCCTTATACCTTCTATTCTGAAGCCAAGAGTCTCCGTCGACGAAATCGTCTCCCTCCAAACCATGTAGCGAGGCTTAGTCACACCCTTAAGTCTGTGTTCTTCTTCTGTTGGCGCTGTGTCGTCAATTTGACACATTTTCTCATACATATCCTTAAAAAATAATTATTAATATCGATAAAAACATTATCATTAATTATATACTTTTCTCAATTTGGGCTTCTCCTTGGCTTTGGCCAACTCCTCTTCCAAATATGTTCTCACGCCTATTTTGCAATCCATCACGCAAGGGGATTGAAAATCGCCCAAGAGATCTTGTAATTGCAGGTAGGAACATTCGCCGTCGTCGCTAGTCACGAGACCTTTGTACTCAGGAACGTACGGTCTTAGAACGTCTTGCATTAATACCTGAAACAATCCAATTATCATTATAAATTCGATTAAATATTATTCAATATTGAAACTCACTTTAAAACATTTTTCTTCTTTCTCGCAAAGCTTCTTGAGAATTGTACCCTGATCAGGACCTGCCTTGAAGTTTCCTTGATGACCAGCTAGTTGCACCCACGGATACCGTTGCTTCTTGTAGGTTTGAAAGAACGGAGTCCATTGAACTATGTTCCGCAGCTTGCGCCATCCCGAAGGCTGTAAAATAATGATAATAATAATAAGTAACAATCTATTAATTATCACCTGTTAAATTATGATTTATAATAAATTTAAAATAAAAAAAACGCTAATTGGATAGATTTTCTTTTCCATCTGTGATATATATTTTCTTGTCTTAAGGAGGCGAGAATTAATAGAAGAGAAAAGCAATAATTTATTATGACAATTTGTTACGACGAGCGCAGAAAATTTGTTGCGATTTATTATCCTGCTGCAGAATGGGAATGAAGTGTAATTACAAAACCGGCCAGTTTTCAGCCGGAATATTTATGGTACTCTGACATGAGCGCCTTTTTTCGTCTTGCATGTCTGCCTGTTAGAATTCTTGTTTTTAGTTGTTTTTTGCATGCGCAACGTGCAATTACGAGAAAATCCTCAACGAATTAAATTCATTACGCGACACGTGCTGTTCACTTCTAGTACTTTTCTTTATGGCTAGACTATAGATTGTGTAAATGCTAATTTTACAATTGCTTTTCTTTCACTCTTAATACAATGTCACATTGAATTTATTATTTTTAGAGAAAATGAACTAAAAACAAAATTAATAATTAATCGTAAAAGTTCACGTGTGAACTTTACAAACAAGTCGTAAGTCTATTTTTAGACTGTTGCAACAATTTAATACCGGTAAGCATATTTTAAGATGTTTTAGTAAATTAGTATGTGCGTCAAGAAGTTTCGCGGATTTCAAGCATATGACGTGCGCGAGAATGTCCCCACTTGTGTGCAGGAAAGGTCCACATATAGCTCTAATTTCTTTGAAACTCTAGTATTCCAACACTAATATGTTGATGACGTGTTTAAGATAATGTTGCAAAGTGTAGCACGTGCTGCTTTCGTCAATTTCTTTAATGTTTAACGTATTTACAAGTATTACGAAGATGATGAAAACATACGACTCAAATCAAAGTTGTTTCTATCATTATATAGGATTAGAAATAGAAGAAATTTAACATTAATTCGACGTTAACCCATTTATTTTTGGAGAGCACTCCAGTAAACGTGCCGCACGTAAATATTTATAGAATCGGAAGTAGTGTTTTCTTCTAGTTCTGACCATAAATTTGGAGTACAATATTATCAATTTTCTCGTGTTTACATATATTATTACAATTTAAAATCATTTAGTACTCTGACAATACTGCCCTCATTTTTGATTATCTTCACTGAACAACCTTCAAAACTCGTGTATCTGGTGTAGTAGTAGTAGTAGCAGTAGTTCAAGGATCGGCATTCATCCGCCTAAATCTATACAAACAATAAATTAGAGCACGACACTTCCGAACATTTACTTTCAATAATTGAGAACTAAAAATAAAATCCATCAATTTTAACTAATTATATTAATATATATTTTTAGCTTTGGTATAAAGTTTGAGTGAAATTAATCACTTAATATAAAACAAAATAGAAAGAATAGTATCAACATTCATAGGAAATGACGTTAATAACAACGATATGAAATCACGTCTGAATTGAATTGAATAAAATGAAACAAATAATGAGAGAGAGGATATAATTATAGTTATTGTTTCAAAATGGAAAATATTATTAACGTCAATTAAACTTGAATAAAAACAAGCGTTCAATTATAATTGAATCTAATGGGTAAAATCAATTATCAATGAATGTTGCGAATCTACAATTTAAAATAATACAATTATTAAAAAAAAAATGAAATATTGCAACTTTCAAATAAATGTCATACGTTACGTGCGACTAGTAATTCAATTACGTTTGAATTTTAATTAGTCAGTAATGTTAAAGTGAGCGCTTATTATTTTCCATTTTTTTCTTTTCTTTTCTTTTGTAGATATACATAATATTTTCGCATTCTCGAAAGCGTATAAATAAGTACACCTTGATTGACGTCAATGCGTTTAAAGGTTGTATAGGTAATAGATAAAATTGTATTAATATGTATGGTATACACAGTGCACACTGAATACATTCGTATGGAAATGCAAAATTACATAGACTACAAAACTATGATGTAAATCTGAGACGACATCAGAAAGAGAGAGAGAAAGAGGAGCCACGTCCGTGTCCGATTGGGATCTTCGTAACGGAAATACGCCTTCGTCATCAACATTTACGCCGCTATCATCGTCGATCAGGAAGAGAAAGGCATAACATCAAAACATGCATGCATTTAAAGTCAAAGGTGAAAAACTCGCATTCTCTAAACAATCCTCTTAATTTTTTGGTTTGTTATTGTTTATTATTCCAATGGCTCAATTCTCGTATTGTCATTTGCTTAAATTGATTTACCTCCTGCTTTTTACATTTAAAAAGAAAATGTTGTTTACGATATTCACTTTTGCACGGTTGCAAGTAAACTTCGACAATTAAAATATAATTTCCTCAAATTACAAAACACATTGAAATGCGAGGTTGCAATTTTTTTAATTTATGTTTACCATTAATTATTTTCAATAAAATAATATAAAAATGTATTAATAGACGAAAACCTAATGACCTCAGATTACTCATCTTTTCCAAAAAGAACTATAAATTACTGTAAATAATAATGTAAAATAAATAAAATAATTTCCAACTGATAATTGAAATGCAATATTTCAACGATCGACATTATCGCCTCTCCTGAGGATATACCTGACCTTCATCTAAATCTGAATATTTATTATCATTGGAATATTATACCGTAAGCTGAGATTGAATTTCTCCGCGGTTTCAAAACTCACAAACGACGCAGTTGTTTGCACGAAGTATGATTATGAAATATCTCTATTTTTTACTTCTTCTTTAACATAAAATTCCTCAAGAGCAGAAATTTCCCAAATACAAAAACCAGTTGCTTAATTAAGAGACACATGTGGCTTTTCCAAGATTTTAAATACACAGATACACTATAATTGTATGAGTTCGGTAAGAAAATTGAAAGTTTCTGCGGACAATCCAATGCGAATGCAGAGTTCCTAACAAAGCAACTTGTCTATGTGGTATGGGTATAACCGCTGCGGCAATGTTTATAAACTTGAACCGGTTTCTTGTAGCGTATTGCGATAGAGGTATTGAAATATTTTTGTTTACATCCACACGTTTCCCCATCTAACCAAACTGCATCCAAATCGAAATGAAAGTAAACAAAAATATCCACACTGAAAACTTATTTACTTATTATTACTCCTTTGCTTATGTGTCAGCTCTTTTTTTCTTTACAGGAAATTCTCATTCAAATATTTATATAAATTTCAAACAATTTATAAAATGTGTCATACGATAAAAATGATTACAATAAAATAAAAATGATTCACGTAAAGCAATTATATCATATAAATTTTTTTTCTACTTAACAGAAATGTACTATTAACATTTGCATGTAATTAAATTTGTTTTCGCTTTGTTAATTCAACAAACTGGTTTAACATTCAAGTTTCATCACAATTTATTTCTGTCTGTTAAAAAGAATCTGATAAATGTTATTCATTCTTTTATTGAATTTAGCAATAAAATTGTTAAATCTTTTTAAAATATTAAATCTTTTTTTTTTAATTTTTACATCAGATTTGCTTTAAAATTCTTGTATGTATTTGTTATTGATCAAAGTTATGACCTAACCCAATCTAAACTAAAGTGATCCCAAGCATGTTTTCTTTTAATGTTACAAGTGAAACAATATACAAATTTTATACATACAAAAAATAAATTTGTCAAAAGTTTTTGAGGGAACAAAAAATCTATATACAAAGATTCGTATAAATAAACCAAAAATAATGTAAACAAATTAATAGAAATATATATTAAAAACTATAAGAGAATATTATATCATTGTTAATTGATGATTACATTTCTGAAATGTATGCATCAATAAGATGATATTTCAACAATACATCAATTGATATAATAATAATATACATTTGAAGTATGTATCATGTAACATGTATTTGAATCAATAAAGTTAATGGCAATACACGGATATGTAATTACATGCTGCGTAAATGAATTATGAACAAATATCCTCTTTTTTTTTATTTGTTATTTTCCGCATTGAACGAGTGTAGGACTTGCGTTGCCATTTTCGAATAACAGATCGAACCGCGGTCTCTATTTAAACTGCCATTATCGCATTTTTATGCCATTCATCATCATTTACGTTCACGTGACGTACGCTATCATTGTTCTACGAAGGCTCCTCTTCAGACGCGCATTATGCAAGAGCCCCGTCGCCGGAATTCGAGCCAATTACCAAACAAATAACATTCCTTTTCACGTAAAACGACATCGCAGAGTTTCGAATCATTTCACGTATTTATGATAGTGTATTTAAACAGTAAGTAAACTAGGTTACATTGTTTATTGATTAAAACCAATTTAATCAACTTCCTGCGAGATATTTTATCTACAAACCGAGAAGCAAAACCAGTAAATCTGGATATTTCTTTGTTGATTAAATGTATTATTGAAAATAAATACAAGCTCGTGTTATTTGTTTGTGGAATTGCTGCGCTAATACGTTTCTTTACGAGTGGTAACAAGAGAAGGACTTAATGGAATCCCATATATATTTTAGGATGTAATACTAATATGTTTGAGCGTAAATCATAAGGGAAACAATAAATTGAACGTTTAAGAGTCAAGTAAGGGGATTAAAGTGGGCATCACGAGAACGCAACGAGAAATAATTATGGCAATAAATATATTTTTTTGTTTGCTAGTAATCGCATACCAGTATCAGGTATTACTGGTTTGACTAAATATATACTTTGCCTATAAAGGGAAATGGAAAGCCGACGTGCGGTTTTCTTTTCCTCGTCTCCACATATGTTTTTCTTTATCGAAGCGCGCGTAGAGATTTTTCGGCGGTTGTTTTTATCTTTATTCATTGGTAATAATAATGACCTTGGACTTGGAGACCAGCGTGGCGTCTGGAACGTCAGAATCCCATTCGGAGCTTAAGTCATCGCTGGAGGCGTCAGCATAGTCCGTAGAAAAGGGCACTTCGAGTAAAC